TTCAGGGTTTGGAAGTGAGATGTAAACTAAGCAAAAAGTGAGGAAACAAAATCGATTCCTAATGTGGGAATAAAAAGGGAGAAAGCAAGCCCAGGGCTGTGCATTGGGGTCTATGCTACCAAAAAATTCATGCTCTCCCCTGCCATTTGGGATTGCGTTGCTCAGGGGAAGGCAGGGGAACACTGCAGCCCTTGCCTTTGCTGTGGCTCTGCATCCTCTGCAAGACACCCAATGTCTCCAGTTATTCTGTGGGTTTGAGCTGGTGAGTGTGGCGATGTTGATAGGCAAGATGTGGTTCTGATGTGCATGTTCCAGCCCCATCGGGGGCTCTGGCTTTGTCAGTCAGAAGCTAGCCAGTGCCTGTGCCATCAGGTCTTGGAGCCTGCATCAGGGCTTTTGGGGGGATGCTGGCTGATAGTGCTCCGTGTCATCCTAGCACTGCAGCAAAGGAGAGGTTAATAATGCAACATGCCTGCCTGTTGCCCTTGGCTGTAGGCTCATTTGTTTCTGCAGGAGGATAAGAGCTCTGTAAACAGTATTTCCCAGGGGATGGGTGGCGGGCGGGGGGGAAGGATTTTCAGCCCTGTAGTGCAGCTCCCTGCATGGTCTAACAGTTCTCTGTGCCTCTAAAGAGACTGGGGCCACCAGCCTGGTTTGGTCAGACCCTGCTAGGATGAAGAAGTGTGGCTTGCCTGAAGTGCTGAGGTGGCTGGATTGGTTCTCTGCTGGGCTGAGTGCAAGCTTGATCCCCTCTCCACTTCCTTGGGACTAGCTGCTGGCTGTGCTGCTTGGAATGTGCCCTTCTCTGAGTCAGAAACGCAGGCAGCCAAGTGGGGAATCGGGAATGATGACTCTGAGCTGAAATTAATGGTGACAGTTGGATATTGTGAAGGAAAACAGAGGTGAGCTCATGGGGCAGAGAGGGTGTTGGTAAGGGAAGAGGGGCTTATTGGTCCCTGTGGGAGCAGAGGTGGCTATGTACAACCCCAGGAATGGAGAGGGAGTGGTGATGAGAACCCTGTACCTCCTGTGGGTCCATGGTCCTGTGCATCTGTGGCGGTGTGAATTTTGGCTTCTCTTTTTGAAGGTGAGAGCCTCCCCTGGGGGAGATGGCTGGTGCTTCATTTTGCAGCTAGCTTGCAAGCCTTCTTTGAACTGATAAGCCCTGTCCTGAGGAAGAAGCCTGGAAGAGGCTTGGTCTTCTCCCCACTTTCCCGTCTCAGCTACACCCCTGTATCTGGGCAGCAAGCTGTGTGTGGTATGGTCTGTCTTACGGCTTTTCCAGCTTCAAATATGTTGAAGCCCAGGACTGGGTCAGAAAGCGGTGACTGTGGTCTTCTGCATCCCACAGGGCACCCTGAATCGTGCATGTAGGCTTGCAGAGTATGCACACCCATATTGATTTTAATTTCAGGTCCATCGCTGTTCAGAAATGGCAGCTTGGCAGGGTTGCCTGCTGTCTGTAGCCATCAAGAGCCATGGTTGTGGTAAAGAAGCTACAGGATAAGCTGGCTGTGGCCTCCCTCTGCTCAGCTGCCACCAGTGGAGGGAGGTCTGGCTGACAGCATACACCTGTGGTGACATCTCCCCATGTGCTCTCTGGGAATGCCGTGTATTCCTGTCCCTCAAAGTCCCTGTTAGCTAGAAGGAGTAATAAGCTGCAGTGTTCACCTTCCCTGCCATCAGAAATTAAGCAGCTTTGGCAGAATGTGTGTGTTTTGCAAAACGCCAGAACCCCCTCAAGGGCTTTGAGCGCAAAAGACGAGAGAATCGAATAAAGCTGTTTTGCTGCAGAGAGCACCGATCCCCTTCCTTGATCACCAGGGTCTCTGTGGCTCCCTTTTCACAGGGCTGCATCAGCCATTCCATGCTGCCTGCTGGGATTTTGTCTGGGTGTTTAAGGCCCTGGCAAAGGGAGTTTGCCTCCCTTGGGGCTGGGAGCGGGTTTTGCAAGGGTTACCCAGGCTCTCCCTTTAGTGCTGGGCACTGCAGAGAGCCTGAAGAGCCAGGGATAGAGCTGGGGCCCTCTGGGTGCTCTGCTTCTCTAGCCTGGGTGGCTGAAATTAGCTCCTGCAGGCTGTCTCGGTGTGCTCTTAGCCAGTGGTGACCTCTTCAATGCTGTAATTCAGAATTTCCACAGCGATAAACCATATTGCTCCGTGTGCTGGTGTAGTTGGCCTCCAGTTGATGGGCTTGGGTATGTCTAGCCCAGGAGCTGGCAATAGCAGATGGAGATTTGCCTGGAGTTGAATGAAGGGAATTGTGCATGGGAGCTGGGATGTGGGAGGAGGAGCCAAGGAAAAAAAAGCTTTGGAGTCAAGGCATGTGCATAAAAAAAATTTCAGCATACGTTTTTCCCCGTCCGGCGTGTTTGAGCTCCCCTGTCCCAGGTTTCTCTTGTGCTGTGAACTCTGCTTTACTTTGGATTGAAAGTGTCTAAGAAAAAAACCCAAACCTGCCTAAACTTTGTGCAACATCTGTAAGATATTGATGCGTCTTAATCTATATGAGAAAATACATTGAAATAGCCAGGCTATTCATATCACAATGTCCCCCTGGTGAAATGGGGGTGAATAAGCTGACCTTTGCTGATCAGAGGCTGATGGAAGGGAAGCAGTGGCTGGGAAGAACTGCAGGTCACATCTTGCCTGGCGTCAGAGCCCTGCGTTTCCCTCTGCCGCTTAATGACCGGCTCATCTGTAGAGGTATAGGGACCATAAGGAAAAAATGAATCTGCCCATAGGGTGCAACTCCAAGGTCAAAGTATGGCAGGAAGAGGATGAGCCCAAGCTGTGCTCTTGCTGAAGGCACCAGAGGGTGATGTGCTGCGTACCAGGGCGGCTCTTTGCTGCATCCGTTTGTATTTTCTTCCTCAGTCCTTGGAAGAGGCTGTGCAATGAGAATCAGCCATTCCTTTCCTATGGCACAGGGTGAGCCTAGCCCGAAAGCTTGCTGTTACCTTGGAACACGCTGCACGTGCTCCCAGGTGACGAGTGTTAAGGCCCGTGGGTCTCCTCAGGTCTGGTTATTTAGGCAGGAGCCTTTTTGTTTGAGGGGAAGGTGAATACATGGCATGTTCTTCCAGGT